CCCGCCATACATTATGAACGCAGCCTTAGTACTCAAGGAGTAAAGAACAAACGAAAAGATGGAGAAAAATTAAATATATAAACTGACGAAAGATCTGATAAACCTTACTCAATGCAAGAAAAGTGAGAAACTGCTTGGGAAAGTAGAACATATAGATTCTGGACGCCACCAAGATTTGCTACACAGTGTGCACCTTCAAGAATTCCAGTCTCTTTTTCCAGACTCGTACCCAGTCGCTTCTCTTGTCTTGTTGATCTCACGCTGTGGCTGATGAGAAGGATTTAGTGAGTTCCCGGTGCTTTGCGCACCGCGATCCGTAGCGGCAAAATTTAACGACTGGGTTAGCCTGCGTGCCTCCGAACGTGACAGAAAATTCCGGATGCAGCGCAGACTACGACTGGGTACGAGTTTGCTGTTTTTCAGACTCTGCCCTCCCCCTCTCCTCTACCATTATTTTTACCTGTCAAGCTTTGGCGGGGCACTGGATGGCTAGGAAGGGGATTAAATGGAAATTGTACTGAGCATATGCGCTTTTGATGTGATATTTTTAGTCTACGAGCAGTTTACGTATTAAGGGTTTTTATATTGTGTCAAGTGTGACGTCAAACGCAGGTCAAACGACTTCCGGTACGTCCAAAACGAAAAGCAGTTATATAAAAGATTCTTCTTACTTTTCCTTTAGGAAGTATTTGTTTGTAAAAGTTCTAACTGTTTTAGGCGGAAGTCAAATCACTGAAAACATAAATCATTCGCTTCAGTTTTGATTTCAAATGTTTTCAATTGGTCTTCCTGTGTTATCGGATTCAGTGAGAGACTAGGCTGATCCAACATGGCGGACTCAAGCAAAGTTTACTTTGGCGGAATCGAGGGGTAAAAAAAGCAACAAAAATCACTTTAAACCTCGATATTGTTGTATTTTGATCGAATATTTTAAATTTTCCAGCGGTGGAACTCGTTCAACTGCAGTGATTTTCTCGCAAGATGGAAAGATTATAGGGCGAAGCACGGGACTAGGAACCAATCACTGGGTCAGTATATTAATATGAATAATATAAGAATATTATACAATGATTTTCGTAGTCTAATTTATAATATAGGGTTATAATTATAATTTAAAGATTTCAGAGTAAATTAACCAAGCAATTGAGGGTTTTTAGTTGCGCAGTCTTGAAATCATCCTTGCTTGACTTCTGACATAGGCTTAAATTTAAAGCTTGATATCAGAATGAATTAGTGAGTTCCCAAGGCGTCAATATTTTTTTTTTTTTTTAACTTATTTAGCTTAACGAGAAGTACATATATATGTAGAATATTAAACTACCAAAATAAATGTATTATTTTCATGGGGTTTAAAAGTGGGAAGGAAGTGGGTTGGTACGTAAGTATGGTGGGGGGAGGGGAGAGGGAAATTTGGTATATTGGTTATTTGGTATATTGCAGAGGGGATGTTTGTTGGGTATAATTACTGATCTTATCAAAATCCATTGTTTTCAGTCTGCATTATCCCAACGAATGCATAGAGGAAAATCAGACATCATTTAGTTCATCCATTATTGGCTTTGTTTCTATGATAAACAAGCTGGAAAGAAAACAATTGGATTTTGATAAGAACAATAATTATACTAGATAATCACTTCAGCACGTAGCATTCGTAGGTATAATGCGTATAATGAGGGYGTAGCCCGAAGCTGCCTGCATTATACCTACGAATGCTGCGTGCCCTTAGTAATTATCTATTTAAGATTGGTGTGTGTGGAGGGAGGATTGGCAGAGAGAGTTTTAAAGAGTTGGTAAGTGGAGAGGTTTGGTAGGTGGGTACAGATAATTGAAAAAGCATGTCATTGGCCCTTTAAAATCTAGCTTACTACAGATTGAGTAAATTTCAAAGACAGAGTGACATAGCCTCGAAACCACAAGACGAGAGCCACAAGCTAGCAACAAACGCCAGGCTGATCTAATGAGTTACTGAGAGCAAGGCCTTATAAAGAGTAAAATTCTGACGACGACATAAAAATCTTCCAAAATTGTGAAATTCAGACGGAGGACATGGGATAGGCCCTTAGTATTACTCTTGATTAAAAATCTTCTAATGTTTGTTGTTAGAATGAGTTTCATTTTGATTTCAGTTGATTGGAATGGAGGAGTGTTTAAAGAGAATAAATCAGATGGTAGAAGAGGCAAAAAGAAGTGCAGGAATAGATGTGATGACAAAGCTTTTATCACTGGTTGGTGCTCACTCACATTATTAACACTATATTTCTCTCTTCRGAGTGCATGGCTTTAATATTCAGGCTTTCACCACGTAGGTTCTTTTATGACTAGGAAATTTTTTAAAACTCATGTGTCCTTCTATGTTTGTATAACGTAAAAGCTAGCTCTTTGCAAGGTAGCATGAAATAAAAACAAAGTTGATACCGACAATAGCTATTTAGTGACTAATAGTTGCTATTACTCAACCAGAACATTTATTAAACAAAAGACACAAATGGTCTCTTGTGTATTTGTCTTTGTATGATGAATGTTCTGGTTGAGCAATAGCAAYTATTAGTCTCAGAATATCTATTATTTGTTAATATCAACTTTGTTTTTATGGTTTTACTGCATGTGCTCTAATGAGTTTTTAATGGATTATAGTTTGATTTTCCTTGGAGTTGGTGCAAATTTATGTGTCAAAACTCATGCATATCCTTTCTTCTCACAGAATGCTTACTGTACCTTTCTATATACACCTAATTGAAAAAACGTAGTCAGGTTTGAGGTCATATCATCGAAGCTAAGACCAAAAAGGATTTTGGGTACTCCAAAATGTGTATTATATTTGCATATAGACATGTAAAAATGCACAGTAGAGCAACCTAGRTTAACAACATGCCAAAGCCATGATGCATAAAATGTGCACAGGAAGGGAAAACTCAATACGCATGAAATTAGCATAATTGTTTGTCTTTACATACTCCCCTTTGGTCTTAGCTTTGATGATATAACCTTTTTTTGAACCYGACGTTTTTTAATTAGGTGTATACCTCTGCAAACATTTTGTAATAAGTGACTGCCATGTCTGATTTTAGGGACTTTCTCTGAGTGGCCTAGAGCAGAAAAAACAGCAAGATGAAGCTGTGGCCACAATGAAGTCTGTCTATCCTAACTGTAGTACTAGTTATCACATGTGTGTGGACACGCTGGGTGCAATATCAACGGCATCTGACTCAGGTTTGTTAACTATTCCAGGGTTAAATTTAATGGCTGGCCAGAATTGGAACCTGTCTGTCTGGTTATTTTGACCAGTAATGTTGAACCAGAAACAAGGTATGACCAAGCTAAAACTAATTTCGCTGGTCATCAAAGAATCTTAAAAGGTACAGTTACACGGTGCAACATTGCAAGCTACTGGACCATTGCAGCATGTGTCTACCCCTGAATCTTGGTGCATGCAACAAATCTGAAGGTGAATTGCGCTCTACTCTTGCAACATTGCGAGCAACAAATTTCATTGTGTCAACATGGCTGCAATATTGCGTGCAACATTTTGAAATTTCCAGCCAATCAGCTTGCACCAAATTTATAACTGCTGACCAAATATCTTAGCATAGCAGGCTGACACAAGCAATGTTGCGTGATTTTGTTGCAATGTGTATCACCCCGATTCAAATTTGTTGCTTGCAATGTTGCGCTGTGTGTCAACACCTTTATTCTCAAAAGAATGACACGTCTAAAATGGGAAAATATTTCATCCTAGCTAATTAACAAATAAAACAGCTCTTTCTGTGCTCCGTTTAGCAGTACATCATGCAGGAAGTGACGTAAGCATAAAAGATGTGTGAAGGAGAAGCACAAGCCCTGTGCAAGTGCTTCTCACACTTCTTGAGTGCTTTCAGTGCAATCCTTTGCAAAGTTCGCTGTGCCTATGAATGCATCAGCAACAGGTGTTCCATTCACTAATAAACCACTAGTTCTCAACCAATCAGAGCGCATGTACTAAGCTATATAATAAAAGGCTCTACTGTTGATATAAATTTTCTATTGATTTACATGGTCTTGTTGTGTGTGGTTATAGGTGGTGTTGTCCTTATTGCCGGTACAGGTTCAAACTGTCAGCTACTGAATCCTAATGGAGAGACGTTTCACTGTGGAGGCTGGGGTCATCTACTGGGAGATGAGGGTAGTGGTAGGTTCAATTGAAGTTTCATGGTATCAAAATGTAGTGATCTCTCGCTGCAGATTTGTAGTAAATTTCTTAGCGAACCCTTCAAAGCTCTACCTGATAGCCTCGTTTTGATGCTACGCTCATTAAGATGCTGCTGGTTTGTTGGAGTAACATGCTCAACTGCGATAAGGGCTATTAAAATCTATAGTGGCTTTGCAAGATTGTGTTATGGCAGCCATGACAGGAGGCATAACAATAGTCTTTTTACCTTGGGAAACTGATTTTTTTCTAATGTAAACCAAATTCAATTGTTCCTGCCTCCTGAAATTGCGGCCATCATGTGATGGTGTTAAGCCTCTATTCAGAATTATTTAAATTATAGGTTAAATCCTCTGCTAATGTTCATTCATTCATTCAAGTACTTAACATTCATCCATCCATCCCTCTCATCCATYCATTCATCCATCCATCCATCGGGTTCTTATGGCTTCCATCAGTCCACTTCTCAATCAGCCTTGCAATCTTGCACTAATTTATACATCATTCTTCCTCTCATCGTTGTCCATCTACAGCATACTGGATTGCCCAAAAAGCTATCAAGACAGTGTTTGATGCAGACGATGGCCTAGTGCCTCCACCCTTTGATATCACGCATGTGAAACAAGCAATGCTTAGCTTTTTTAAGGTAAAAGCAGCATTTGCATCAACAAAGCAAAGTGATAAAACCTGCGAATTAATAGTTGACATTGCAGTGATTGCACTTAGAATTTGAATCGGGACAGGTCCTCAGATGTAACTGGTAAATTTGGAGTCCCCAGTGTTGTGTTGTGGGACCTCATTAATGATAAATTAGGAAGCCCTTCTTAACACAAGTGAAGTGTGTCCTACGTACATCAAAATCGTTTTTTCTAAAAATACATGATTTCTTTATCTCACTCCCTGTGGGTATGTAAGCATTGTGCCAGAGCTGGTCATAGTATGTATCTCTTAAGGCYGGTTTAGACGGTACRATTTTCRCCTACAACTATCGTATACAACATGCTCATGTCTGTCGTAGGCGAGTTGTAGGCTTGATTTACACGCTACGACTGGAGTTGTAGGATGGTGCGAAAATCATACCGTCTAAACCAACCTTTAGGGTTTAATTTTAATGTCTTTAGATTCAAGACAAGTATGGACTCCTCGCACATGCATATCAACACTTTGACAAAGCTGCATTTGCTAAATTCTGTAAAGAAGTTGCCGATGGTCAGTGAAATGTATTATACAAAATATTATCATTATCATCATCTTCATCATCACCTTTAACACCACGATCAATCATCATCATCCAAAATCATCACCATCACCAACTTTAATTTATTATCACTCTCACCATCATTCTCATCATCATCAAACATATATTAAACATATTGGCAACCATCACTTCCCATACAGGGCTCTTCTGTGAGGTTCCCTTCACATGCACTACCACTACATTCTATATGTAATTTACAAATATGCAATACTCAACCACATGTAACATCATGTTGATTATTACAGAGGGAGGAAAACCGGAGAACCTGGAGAAAACCCTTGTAGCATAGGAGAAAACAACACATCAAACAAACTTAATTCACATAAATTACGATCCAGTCTGAGCCGGGGCTCGAACTTGGACCACAGTGGTGAGAGGCGAGCAGTAAACCACCACCCACTAAGATCATATTTTTTATCAGTATTGTTATGTAAAGCTATTTAATACTGCGAATCCAAGCCACACTAAAATGCTGCACAATTCTGAATATTTGTTTTTCCAGGTGCCAAGGATAACAACGATCCATTGTGCAAGCACATTTTTAAGTTAGCTGGTATTGATCTTGGGAAGCATGTAGTAGCATTAGCACCCAAGATGGACAAGGTATGCGACACGTCACAATATTAGTACGGTAGATTTCACTGTTT